TTAGGCTTAGGCGATTCTCTTACCTGCCTCAGTCTCCCCAGTAGCTGGGACTACAGGTGCCCACCACAATGCCCAGCTATTTTTTTGTTGCAGTTTGGCTAGGGCTGGGCTCAAACCTGCCACCTTCAGTATATGGGGCCAATGCCCTACTCGCTGAGCCATAGGTGCTGCCCATCATCCCTCTTAAATCTCTTAATTTAGGATGGTTCCCCCTCCTTTTGTTCCTTCCATGACATAAACTTATTTAAGAGTCTGGTCCAGAATGTCCCATATTCTGGATTTACCTGATTTTTTCTTCTTGGTGATATTTAACTTGATATATATTCCTTTGTCTCTTGCCTTTTGAAAATTAGATCTAAAGGCTTGATTAAATTCAAGTTAAATAATTTTGGGCAGAATACTTTGGGGTGATTCTGTAAACTTTACATTGTATCACATCAGGAAATAGGAGGTCTCATAATTAAGTTAGGAAACTCATCCAAGAAAAAGTGTTACATACCTCATTGCCAAATTTCACTATAATCACCTTTGAAGTTCTCCCTTTTTGAAGCTATGCATTAACACTAGTGCCTAGACCACTCTTCAAAGCAATTTTGGAACTTTTTTTTTTTTTTAATTTTGGAACTTTCTATGACTGTCAGAGTTATTGTCATATGGCACACAAAAACATGCAGTAACAATAATGAACACCACTTAGCAAGCCATTACCACCTGTTGACACAGCTGTGAGACACTGATACACAAAAGTTATGAAACCATATTGAGTTATTTGTACAGTGCTGTCAATGTAAGGGCATGGTGTCAAGTTCCCAAACTTAATTGTCAAACCTCATAGGAGGACTGCTCTGATAGTCATTCCAGAAAAGAGTTCCAAAACTGCGTTGAAGGGTGCACGAGGTGCTGGAGTTGACGCAAAGCTTCCCAAGGAGAGTACTTCAGTGACTGAAGCATATTCAGCAATGTTTGTAGCAATTTTTCTAGGAAGAGTTTGCACACTTAGTTGTCGACCTTGTATTTGCTGTCTGGTTTTATTTTTTTGCTTAAGATTATAACAGCGAGGCCTCTCCATGGAAAGT